TTCTTGGCTGTGCACTTTCCCTGACAGACTGATTTTCGCACATACATATTCACAGACTCAATCACATGCAGAAACATTCACAGACCCACTGTCACACAGACACATACTCACAAGCATGGTCTCTTAATGTTTCAGGCGAACACATACAACTGTGCACGTACACTCACACCCATGCACAACTAAATGCAGATAAACACACATGCACACAATTCAAATCAGAGTATTCCTCCATTTCTGTAAGCAACTAACAAAAATGGACAAGCAGAGCTATCGATCTTGCCTGTTTCTTCCTGACAGCTTCACAGAAACAGGCTGCCATCTCGGATTCTCCAGCATCTGCAGTTCCTACTATCTCTGCCATCTGTTTCTTCCTTGTTCTATTTACTGTTCTCTTTTTAACCAGCAAGCGATGCTGAGGGAATAATTACATTTCTAATTACATTTTTTAGACTTTCTCTCTGGAGACCGACGAGGATTTATATAGAGAAAAATGCAGGTGAGACTGGTCTCGGAAAGTTAATGTGTACAGAGGAAGATCGAACAGTCACTTCTTCTTCTCCCGTAGGCCCAAACAGTCGCCCTCCACTGACAGAACTGGTCCTCACCCTCAACAACTTTTCCTTTGATTCTTCCCACTTCCTACAAACCAAAGGAGTGGCCACGGGCACCCGTAAGGACCCAAGCTATGCCTGCCTCTTTGTAGGATTTGAGTAACAAACCCTCTTCCACAACTACACCGGCACTGTCCCTCACCTCTTTCTCTGTTGTATTGATGACTGTATTGGTGCTGCCTTGTGCTCCCGTAAGGAGCTTGAGCAGTTCATCACCTTTGCCAACACCTTCCACCCTGCCTTCAAGTTCACCCGGACCATTTCTGACACCCCCCACCCCTTCCTGGATCTTTCCATCTCCATCTCCATCTCCAGAAACCAACTCACCACTAACATCCATTTCGAACGCACTGACTCCCACAACTATCTTGACTACACCTCCTCTCAAATACTATCCCATACTCTCAATTCCTTTGCCTCCACCACATCTGCTCCCAGAATGAGGTGTTCTACTCCAGGACATCCCAGATATCCTGGAGACCAAATGCAGACAAGGGGACCAGTTCACAGAGCATCTGCGCTCTGCATGCATCAACCAACCTGAACTGCTGGTTGCCATCCATTTTAATTTCCTCTCCCATTCCCCTGACGACATGTCCATTCTCGGTCTCCTCCACTGTCATAGTCAGGCCAAACATAAACTGGAGGAACAACACCTCATATTTTGCTTTGGAAGTTTACATCCCAACGGCCTGAATATTGATTCAGAGATAGCAGGAACTTCACCAGCTTTAAAATCCCTCCCACCCAGCCTTATCTCGTGTCCTGCCTCCCTGTCCTGTCCTAACCTGTCCATCTTCCTACTCACCTATTTGTTCCACCCTTCCCACTGATCAATCACTATAACCCCTTACCTGCAACCACCTTTCACCACCCCATCTACCTTTCTCCACCCCACAACCCCTATTTATTTCTGGACGCCCCTGTCCCTCCCCAGTCCTGACGAAGGGTTTCAGCCTGAAATATTGACTTTCCTGCTCCTCTGATGCTGTCTGACCTGCTGTGTTTGTCCAGCTCCATGTTTATTGTCTCTTTAATGACCTACCTCACAAGGCAAGCTGGCTGAATGTGTAGAAACGCTGACCGGCACGGCAAGGCATGGAGAAACAAGGCATGAGTTAAACATGCCGGTAGTTGCAGAGTGAGTTAGCGTCACAGGAGCAAGCGGTATCCCTGAGGTACACAATTTGTGAGCTGGGTACTTGTCCATGCAGCCTTTCAATGCCAGTTGCTGGTATGCCCTGCAATGCAAGTCTGTGCTATCTGAACAGCCAGCAGTGGATCAACAAGATGTTGTGTTAGTCAAGAGGAGTTGGTAATTATTCATGACTGAGGGGGGTGTGTGACTGATGTTTGTGGATTGTGCCCCAAAGTGCAGTTTGTTCCCCATCCAACTTAACTGGCAACTTGCTGCTCCCCAGTGAGAAACTTGTCCTGACACTCAGCAAAAACATAAATGATGAAGTGAGATGCCCCGATATCGAGATAGGCTTCACAGATTCTCCTCCAATTGTACCACAAATTTTGCCTTAGTCTATATCTCTCAGACCCTGAGAAGCTTCTATTCTCAAACATAAAACAAGTACAGTCCTGAGGGCTGCATTGTTACAAAGACTGCCAATTGGACAAGATATTAAACTAAGGCCTATCTGCTCTATCAGGTGGACATATAAGGTTCGATTACTGTTCAAAGAGCACAGTTCTCCCCAGAGTTCTGGCCAAATTTATGGATGAAATTATCTTCTCATTATTACACTGCTGTTCATTGGAGTTTACTGTGTGCAAATTGGCTTCCATTTCTCCTACCTTACAACAGTGGCAACTATTCAAAAAGTGCTTCAGGGTTGCAAAACAATTTGGCACATCCAAAAGTTATGAGCTACTGCACAAGGTCAAGTCTTTCTTTATTTTTCAAATTGTAGATTGATCGAATCTATTGTTCAGACGGAGACCGTTTGGCCCATCAAATCAATTCCAGCTATTTGGTTGAAATTTATCGCACTCCTCTCCTCGCCACAGCTATCTGAATTATTTTCTTTCATATTTCTTTCAAATTGTATTATTGATTCTGCTTTCACCCCCCTTCAGTGCACTCCAAATTGCTGCTTGAAAACATATTTCCTTGTGTTAGCTTTGCTGCTTTCACAAATCACCTTCAAACCATGCCCTTGGGGCTTAGTAAAATTCTCTGCTTCAAAAAAAATCTCTATTCCATCAGAACGGTCCATGATTCTGAACTCCTCAATCAAAATTCCTATTAAACTTCTCTGCTCTTCACATAACAACACCAGCATCTCCAGTCTCTTCAAATGCCCAAAAATGCTCAATCCTCATACTGTTCTTGTAAAAAGCCACTCCATCTTCTAACATGCCTTGAGACTTTGCTTAAAATATGATAATCAAAATTAACACAATTTTCCATCTGAGGCCCAATAGTCATTGGTAAGATTTAAAGATAATTCCTTGCTTTTGTAGTCTCTTTCTCTGTTTATATATTTGGGAAACCCATTTTTTCAAAAGAATTTATGTACACACACTCATTTGTCTCTCTGTTTCTGCACCCTTTGTTAACATTACACAATTTAGTTAATATTTTCTCTGATCATTTTTTCAAACAAATTCAATAATTTCACACTCCTCTGTATCATATTTCAATTTTTAATTTCACTCACAGGGTGAGGACGTTGCTGGGTAGGCCAGCATTTATTGCCTATCCCTACTTGCGCAGAAGGCAGTTAAGAGCCAACCACATTGCTGTGGGTCTGGAGTCACATGTCATCCAGACCAGATAAGGATGGCAATTTCCTTCCTTAAAGGGCATTAGTGAACCAGATGGACTTTTCCAAAAACCAACAACAGTTTCCTGGTAACCATCAGAGTCCCAGTTTCAGATATTTATTGAATTCAATTTTTCAATTGATATAAATTCCATCATTCAAAATTTGAATTCCAAAATTCAAATTCCACCATCTGCTGTGACAATATTTGAACACAGACCCCCAGAACATTACAGGGTCTCTAGACTAACAGTCCAGCAATTAACACCACTAGGCCATCGCCTCCCCTGTGTCATGTGTTTGATAGAATGACCTTCTTTTAATATATAAAAAGAGAAAGAGATAGACTAAAATGAATATAGGTCCCTTAGCGTAGGACACTGGGGAAATAACAATGGGGAACCAAGAATTGGCAGAAGTGTTAAATAAATACTTTGCATCAGTCTTCATGGTAGAAGACATTAATAGCGTTCCAAAATTACGACAGAATTAAGGTGCAAAATAAGATGTGGAGTGAGGAAGAGAACATAATAACAAGCACAAGAGCAAAAGTACTTTGGGAAATACTGGGGATAAAGGCCTACAGATACCCTCCATCCGATTGGTTTCATCCAAGACGAATGAATGAAGTAGCTACAGAGATACTGAATGCCCTAATAGAAACTTCCAAGAATCCTTCAATTCTGGAGAAGTATCAGAGACTGTAAACTGTCAATGTAACATCCTCATTCAAAAATAGACAGAGGTAAAAAAATGTTACCTGCAGGCCAGTTAGTTTAACATTTGTTGTTGGGAAAATGTTAGATCTATTATACAAGATGTGATAGCAGAACATAAGACAGTGGAGAGAGGAATACAGTGAGATTTATTTCAGATTGAGGACAATGGGGTGGGAAGTGTACAGTGGGATTAATTTCAATTATTATAATAAACTAACAGAGATTTAAAAAAAAGCCAATTGGTCTTATTTTATTCGAAGGACATATCTCCTATCTACAAATAAAAATGGTCCATTTCAATAAATAGATAAGTGGAATCAGGCAGCGTCCAGTATAAAGTGAGAAATACTGGTCACATTCAGGTTGGTAGAGTTTTTGTAGTGTGCTCCCGCACTTTATCTCATTCTGAAAATCATAAACTTCACGATTAGTATAGGGCAATGTTAAGTTTATTATATAGGATGTAATTGCAGAGCATAGGATAGTGGGGAGAGTGCAAGATAATAAGGTTAATTTAAAATTCTTAAAGTACAAAACACCACTGTAAAAAAATCTTTGTTCGGATTTTCAAAAAAGGTACATTTTGCCTGTTAGCCTTTCTGAAAAGGACCGATAAAGAATTGATCTTTAAGCGCTCAAATCATGTCTGCAGACAATAATCTATCCCATTCGCGAACGCCAGAGACTTCCCCTTTAATGGGAAATGAAAGAAAGAGATAGATCAATCGGAGCAGCAAAAGGCGAAGTTAGGACTAAAATAAAACAATCGCCCTCTTTACAAAAAAGATCTAATTTTCGGATCTGAAGCTGCTGATCTGTTGACACATGCAGCCAAGTCAACTTTCATGATTCGGGCACGATTTCTTTTAAAACGCTGTTGGTTTGTCACTTACCCAGAAAAGTGTCGCGAAGACTCCCAGGGTCAGTTTCAGCACCAAGTATGTGGGATCGATCCCCTCGCAGCGTGGCCGGGACACTCCACACATCCTAACCCCTGGCAAGAGACAGTCCGGACGCGGATCCTGATCCCTTACCTAAAATTTCAATACAAAGACAGCACATTAACTAAGCAACTTCCGCCTCCAGAGCGAAAGTGAAAACTGCTACAGGAGTGCATTGTTTGCCGAGAGAGCCCTTCCACGATCGTGAGTCCACTCAGTACCAAGTGTCTGCGTTTCCCTAGTTCCACTTTCACGTGAAAGGCTTTTGCCACCACCGGACTGATGACACAGCCCCTCACGGGGTCATGTCCAATATCCCGAGGTACAGCCTCCCTCTCACAATCATTTCGGCACAACAATCCTTTCGACTAACCCCATACCCCTCAGAACTCCGGTCTTAGTCAAAGGTGAAGGGTGGATCTTGTGATCCACTGGTGGTGTCCCTACCTCGAGGCCAGAAGGCCTGCGTCCAAGTCCCAACAGAGCTGGAGGCGTGTCACGAAACTAAAAACAAACACAACTTTAGGCGGGACAGCAACCAGGGGAGTGCCTAAGTTCAGACTTGCAGAGATTTACAGAAATGGCAAGGGAGCAAATCACTGAGGGACTTGAAAACCAGGAATGATGCGAATTTGTGTGCGGGTCTGGGAATCAATGGAGATCAGTGAATGGGACTTGGTGCCAGTTAGATGACGGGCAGCAGAGTGCCAGTCAGGGTGCAAACAGGATCAGGTCCAGGACTCAGGCAGGAAAGGAGAATTGAAGGATTCAGCAGGAGTTGAAATGAGCAAGGGGGGAAGTGGGCAACGGTAGAATCAGACAGTCTTCATGACGATTGGAAATAGTGTCAGAAACCCGGCCCAGGCTCAATCATGAATGCTGACAGTGGCTTTATCTTCTATTCAAGTAGACTCCTGGATATCCTGGGTAAGTACGAAGGGCTACTGTCATTACACTAAATTACTGCAGAAATAAAACAGTCAAGATGAATTTTTCACTCTGGTTCTATTGATTCAACTCTGAATGAAGACTGACAATACATCCTCTGCATTCAGCAAATTATATACAAATGGTTAAAAGCAAGAAAGAATATTCAAGATAGAATTCACACAGCTGTGAAAATAGTTGAACCATTACGATGAGATGGTCTGAATGAGACCAGGTTGCACTTAATATTAAAGAGCGAGCCATGGAAGACCTAGAAAGGAAGTGGTCCCAATGTACCAAATGACACTGAAGGATCAGTTCTGAGGAAGGGTCACCAGACCCGAAACGTTAACTCTGTTTTCTCCTCCACAGATGCTGCCAAACCTGCTGAGCTTTTCCAGCAACTTTGTTTTTGACACTGAAGGAGAGTCTGGTGCCAGACATGATCCTAACCTTTCACCTATAGGCCAATTCTGTACCTTTATTTTTACAAATGGATGCAGAATGTAAACTCAAGTCAACTTTTCCATGTCAGACTAAGATTGCACCTGTCACACTCCAGGACAGTCTAAAACACTTTTAATGTTCTAAATCAATTTTGTCAAGTTCTTTTGAGCACCGTGAGATCTTTCACAGCCTCAAAAGAGTAAACAAACCCCCTGCCTAATGTTCCAACTGAAAGCTAGCACTACTGCATGCCTTCTGCACTGCATGCGGAATGCTAGCCCAGACTTGTGCTTGAGACTGCAGCAATTCAAGAAGGCAGCTCGTCACCACCTCAATTTGACTAGTAAGTCTACAGATGACATGAAAATTGGTGGAATTGTGGATAGTGAGGAAGGATATCAAAGGATGAAGCAGGATATAGATCATCTGGAAAGTTGGGCATGGAAATGGCAGATGGAGTTTAATCTGGGCAAGTGTGAGGTGATGCAGTTTTGGAGGTCAAATACAAGAAGAAAGTATAGAATAAATGGCCGGATCCTTCAGATCCTGATATACAGAGGGATCTTGGGTGCAAGTCCATAGCTCTCTGAAAGTAGCAACACAAGTGGATAAGCTGGAGGAGAAGGTGTATGGCATGCTTGCCTTCATCGCTCAGGGCATTGAATATAAAATTTGACAAGTCATATTGTAACTGCATCAGACTTTGGTCAGGCTACATTTGGAGTACTGTGCACAGTTCTGGTCACTGCACCTTGGAAGGATGTGGTAGTTTTGCAAAGGGTGCACAAGAGGTTGACCAGTATGTTGCCTGGATGAGCTATAAGGTGAGGTTAGACAATTTGGATTGTTTTTGCGAGACTATCTGAAGTTGATGGGTGACCTGAAAGAAGTATACAAAAGTATGAGAGGCATGGGTAAGATGGATAATGGGTAAGACGGATAAATGGAGTCACTTTTCCCAGGTGGAAATGTCAAATACAAGGGGCATAGGTTTGAGGTAAGAAGGGGCAAGTTTAAAGGAGATGTGCAAGGAAAGGTTTATACACACACAGTGGCAAGTGCTTGGAACTGCACTGCCAGGGAAGGTAGTAGAAGTACAAATGACAGCAAAGTTTAACAGGCATTTAGATAGATATTTGAACAGGCAGAGAATAGAGGGACAAAAACATAAATTGTTGGAAAAGCTCAGCAGGTTCTGGCAGCATCTGCGAAGAAAAATCAGAGTTAACGTTTCAGGTCTGGTGACCCTCCTTAGAAGGGTTCTGAGAAGGGTTCTGAGGAAGGGTCACCGGGTCCGAAATGTTAACACTGATTTTTCTTTACAGATGCTGCCAGATCTGCTGAGCTTTTCCAGCAACTTCTGTTTTTGGTTCTGATTTACAGCATCTGCAGTTCTTTCGGTTTTAATTAGAGAATAGAATGAAATGGACCATGCGCAGGCAGATGGAATTATCAGAATAGCATCATAGCTAGTATAGGCATGATGAGCCTAAGGGCCTGTTCTTGTGTTGGACTGTTCTATAATCTCAAGGGCAACTGGGGATGTGCAGTAAATGCTGGTGAGCCAGAGAAGCCCACATCCCACTAGTGAATCACAAAATTGATCCTGGAGTGTAACTTGACTTTGTGTGATTTCGTGTGGTAATTATTTCAGAAATGATCACACAGAAGCACACCCTATTGTTGCTGTCATGTGTCCAGGTTTTTTTCCAGTGTGATTGAGAGCAAAGATGGTTGTATCTTACCAAAGCAAACTATAGCCAATGCTAGAAATCTGAAATGGAAATGGAAAGCAGTAGAAATTTCCAACAGGTCAGGCAGCACAAGTGGAGGAGTCAGACTGAACATTTCGAGTCAATGGTCTTCTTCAGAAGATTGTGATTTTTTGGATTGAGTGAACACATTCCTGGCTATGAGACAAAATCATTCACATAACACTGCCACCATATGATAATATGCTGTTCAAACCCTCCCTTGCAACCAAGATCTTGCATTTATGCAGAAGTATAATGCTTCTCCCAGATCATCCAAAACTCTCCACAACCAATGAGCTAATCTTCATATGCTGCTAGTCAGAGTTAAAAGGCCATTTTGTGCAGTGGCAGATGCTAAAACTGCAATGAGATAAACTTTCATTTAATATGAATTGGCCTCTAGGATGCTCAAGTAATTTGAGAGGTATTCCATAGACCATAAGATGTACGAGCAGAAGTAAGCCGTTTGGGTCATCAAGTCTGTGTCAGCAATCAGTGAGATCATGACAGATCTATTAATCCTCACTATCCGCAAAATCCACTATCCTGCCTTTTCCTCATAACCCTTGATTTCCTTTCTAATTAAAAATCTATCTATCTCAGCCTTGAATATACTTAATGATCCAGCCCTACAACTGTCAGTGGTAAAGAATTCCACAGATTCATTACCCTCTGTCTTAAGGAGAGTCAATATTAGATCTGATGTAAATAGCTTGAATGGGTGGGAATGGGAGATTTATTGCTGCACAGAAACTGCTCAGCAGAATGAAGATGGAATTACTTTCAACTTTATCTTTTCTTTCTTAAAATATTCTAAATGCTACTGGATTGTGGCAACTGTTGAAGCTTTTCACTATATTTTACTGTGTTGCTTATTGTAGAGTACAAGTGACAATAAATCATTCATTCAAATCATTCGTTTGTTCATTTTAGTTGGTTTTTAGAGGAAGCTTCATCCTGGATTGACTATTGATCTTCTTTGTTGAGCAAGAACAACAAATGTCATTTTCAGATGGACATCATTTAACCATCATATACTGTATAGGTATGTGAAAAGGGAACATTCCATGTAATCCAAGCAATTCCTGAGGCGGGGGGGGGAAGGACAAAGACCACTCGCAGAGAAATTATCAAGTGCTAACATCGGTGCCCTCTAGTGGCTGGTGTTAGTAACTGGTGGCATGTTGACTGTACTGTATTAGAGTACACTGTACTACAAACAAGAAAGCATACTATGCCGAAAATATTGATTTTAAAATAAACTAACCTGTTCTTTCCTAGCTTGCAAAATACTTCCTTCTGCTTTCTCTTGCAGCAATAATCCAGAGATGTTGAAAACTCAAGGTTGGCATCATTTCGTTCAGTGTCAACGCAGTGTGGAGCTGGAGGAACACAGCAGGTTAGGCAGCATCAGAGGAGTAGGAAAGTTGACGTTTTGGGCTGGGACCCTTCTTCAGAACTTCAGAACTTATGAAGAAGGGTCCTGACCCGAAACGCTGACTTTCCTACTCCTCTGACGCTGCCTGTCCTGCTGTGTTCCTCCAGCTCCACACTGTGTTGACTCTGACTCCAGCATCTGCAGCTCTTGCTATCTCCGAGTGGCATCATTTAATTCTTATTTTTTGGTCTGCCTTCTTTCTCCCTAACTCAGCTCTAGCAATGTCCTTCGTTAAGAGCCTTGCACCTCACCATTGAAATGAAGAAGAGATACGTAAGGCGGTAGCAGTCTTCAAAATAGAAAAGTCAACCAGACTGGATGGGATGGCACGAAGAGAAGGTGGGATGAAAATTATGGAAATTTTGGCCATAATTTTCCAAACTCTCCTTAAAAATGGTAGTGGTGCCAGAGGATTGGAGGATTGCAAATGTGTTTCAACAATGGAAGAAGGATAAAGCTGCAGGCCAGTTGACTTAATGTCCCTGATGGGGAAATTTACAGCTACAATAATCAGGTTCTATGTTAATTAGTATTTGAAACATTATGAACATTTAAATAAAAGCAAGCATAGAGGCATACGGCATGGAAACAAATTCGGTCCAACCAGTCCATGCCAAACATAATCCCAAATTTAACTAATACCACCTGATCGCTCCTGACCCATATTGCTCCAAACCTTTCCTATTCATATATCCTTCCAAATATCTTTTAAATGTTGTAATTGTACTCGCATCCATCACTTCTTCAGGAAGTTCATTCCACACACGAACCACACTCTTGTGTAAAAAATTTGCCACTTACATCTTGTTTTTTAAATCTCTCTCCTCTCACCTTAAAAATGTGCCTCCAGTCTTGAAATCCCCCATCTTAACTTGAATGTGATCTTTTCGAAGTAACATTGGATGAAGGCAACGTT